GAGTGAGTGAGTGTGTGTGTGTGTGTGAGTGAGTGTGAGAGTGAGTGAGAGTGTGTGTGTGTGTGTGAGTGAGTGAGTGAGTGAGTGAGGACATAAATGTGTATAATGACAAAGGTATGACAGGTATTACAAGGAGAAGGTGACTTTTCAGGACATTACCCCATGTCCCCACTTTTCAAAACGCTTATAAATCACACAGAATGGAGTGTATTGAAAATCTGAAATAGCACAAAGTCTCCTGTGAGGGGTAGGTTTAGGGGTAGGGTTGGTGTAGGGCAATAGAATATACGGTCTGTACAGTATAAAAACCATTACGCCTATGGAGAGAACCCACTTTTCACAAATGTAAACCTGTGTGTGTGTGTGTTTGTGTGTGTGTCGACAGGCTCAATAAACCACAAATGCGACAGAAAAAGATCAAATGAGCTCAGCTTCCTCTTTCTCCTCCATCAATTTCTGGTCAACCTGGTTACACAGAACTCACTAGTCATTTAAAACAATAACTGAGAAACAACATCCTCATCTGCCGATAAAAGACAACATGTGTGCATATAACGCATTGCAGTCAGCAGTTTATGCCACCAATTAGGGCAAAATGATTTGGGGGACAAAAAAATTGATTGCAAATTTTATGGTAAAACTGCAATTGCAATTTAAATGTTTTTTTAAAGAGCTCCTGGTTTTATGTAGGGATGCAAAATTTGTCATGTGACAAATGCAAACTGCACCTTTAAGATTCAGAGAATGATTGACAGCTGCGATGACATCATTAAATGCATACTGCATTTATTTGCATAATTAATTGCGATTGGTGTGTTCTTTCTTGCATCTCTGTGTCTTTACGACCCACTTTACCGACGCTTAATGTGATTAGTAAATATGAGATGACAACAGCCTAACGAGCGTGATTTTATCTCCTCGTTATTGAATTAGTTGATGTGTGAAGCGCAGTAAATGAGGAAAGTTTCAGGGAATGAGTCAGAATTATAAAAATACGTCAAGCATCAAAAACACCCACAAACGGCTTCTCTTCCACGACCAGAACAAGCAGAAACGCAAACGACCGAACATCCTCTAAAAACCTTAAACATATTAGCAGCTTTGCTTTATCCAGCAAACAAATGCCAGCATTTCAGCCCATTAGATGGTTGATGGTGAACTTCAAAAGATGCGAAAGATCTCAATCACATTGCATTTGGTCGCGTTACATTAAAGGTGCTGTACATAATGTGTTACATTAAAGGTGTTGACTGTACTGAAGAATAAAAACACCATAATATGTATGCAGATATTTAGGAAGCATGCTCAATCTCTGAAAAACAGATATTCTGATTTGAAATGTGCATTCCTTGTCGGAATGTCTGTTTTTTGTTTTGGTCTGTGTGACTCCGCCCACTGCTAATTTACCCAATAGGATTTTGACACCACAGTTTAGCAGAAAACACAGCATATTGCAGCCATGAAATCCAGCAAATAAACTAGGTCAGAAATCACAGACTCAACCCGACTTAAAACACTTCGGCATCCATCTAAAAAGCTCTATGAGCTGAGGAATATTAAATACAGATAAATCAATTCATCAAATTGTGTCGAGTCTGAGGAGGAAGTGCGGGAGAAACAAAGCTCTCCAATATTTTGAATTGCGTTGTGGGTTCCATATACTAATATAATAATTAATAAATATAAAGATGTTTGTGGGTCAACCTGGCCCTAGCTTTAATACAACTCACCAAAAATCACACTATTAAAAATAGTAAACTAACTATTGCAAACAGCAAACAGAACAAAAAGTGTTATATTATAACCAAACAATGACTTTACAAATCCACATTACAGAACATAGAAATAAAACAGTATTTAACAAATATTTTCTAACTGTAACATTTTTCACAAACTGTGAGCGTACAGTTATTACAATATTTCAAGTGTTGCTTTATGTTTATGCTTTTGAAAATGGATCTTTACTATCTCTAATTAAGTTTATTATTTTGCATTTTAGGCTATTTTAGACAAAGTATGTGCATCTGCAAATGTAATTGTCTAGTTTATTATTATTTTATTATTTATTATTATGACGAGGGAACTTAGAAACAAAGAATTTAATTTTAAATTGTAATGTTTTGCCATGATTAAATTTTTTATAAATCGAGGAATCACGATTTTGAATAGAAATATTACCAAAGGTTAGAATTAGACACTTTGACAGTATGCCAATGTTAAGAGTAAAGAGAAATGAAAGATTGACTGTTGATTATTTTTACAGAACATTTATAGTTAATAATAGTCTACTGGTGTTTAACCTTCAGTCATTCTGAATTTGAATAACCTTGACTTCCAGATTTTTGAAGCATTTTCATTGTATTATTTCTTAACATATAATATGTATAAGACAAGTTTGTACAAGATGTAGTTGTAGTTTATGCATCTTTTCTGCAAATATATTTAACAAGTGATTTAACATTTACATGGTGTGTGTTGCATTCGGAATAGAAATTTATTTTATCTAGAGGGTTATTAAAGAAAAAGTTGCTTGAATCATGTTGACTAGTTAAAAATCGTAAAAATCGAGATTCGGACAAATGTGACCCTGGAGCACAAAACCAGTCATAAGGGTCAATTTTTCTAAATTGAGATTTATGCATCATCTGAAGCTGAATAAATAATCTTTCCATTGATGTATGGTTTGTTAGGATCGGACAATATTTGAAAATCTGGAATCTGAGGGTGCAAAAAAATCTAAATATTGAGAAAATCATCTTTAAAGTTGTTCAAATGAAGTTCTTAGCAATGCATATTACTAATCAAACATTAAGTTTTGATATATTTACGGTAGGAGATTTACAAAATATCTTCATGGAACATGATCTTTACTTAATATCCTAATGATTTTTGGCATAAAAGAGAAATGTATAATTGTGACCCATACAATGTATTGTTGGCTATTGCTACAAATATCCCCCAGCGACTTAACACTGCTTTTGTGCTGCAGGGACACAAATGTCGTGATAATTCGAGATTTTATTCTTTTGCATATCGCCCAGCACTAGTAATAGTTAATTTAATTTAGCTAGTATGTGACCACCTTGAAACCGACGATGGTGTCTCTTTTAATAATTGACAATAATAGCGCTCTGCTCTCGATCAGGTTAAATTTTTCATAGCTAAAATAGCAGTGCAGCTCGCAACGCCCTCTGCTGGTGAAGATAATCACTACACGACTGCTCCAGCCAGGCTTTCCAGGGACAGAACACTAAAAACTTGGGATGCACGATATTATCGGACTGATATCGGAATCAGCCGATAATGGCTTTAAATGTAAATATCGGCATCAGCCCGATATGAAAAATTATGCCGATATGTCTTGCCGATAATAGGAATACGTTAACTCACATGTGCTCAGGGTGTGTTAGTGATTAGATCACGTTAGATTCACTCTTTTGGATCGCTGCATTTAATCGGTGAAAGCACGTACAGAATGATGCATTCGTTGTATGATAGATTAAACAGTAATAGCACGTGCAGAGTCCTAACGCCTGTTCAGTAAGGAGTTTTAATCTGTAGGGGGCGCTGTTGGCCTACTTCTAATTAAATTAAAAGTAAAATACAAATAACATTTAGACTGTGTTTCTGATTAAATAAAGCAGTAATTGATGTCATAAAATAACGAGTATGTTTACATGATCTTTACTTAATATCCTAATGATTTTTGGCATAAAAGAGAAATGTATAATTGTGACCCATACAATGTATTGTTGGCTATTGCTACAAATATCCCCCAGCGACTTAACACTGCTTTTGTGCTGCAGGGACACAAATGTCGTGATAATTCGAGATTTTATTCTTTTGCATATCGCCCAGCACTAGTAATAGTTAATTTAATTTAGCTAGTATGTGACCACCTTGAAACCGACGATGGTGTCTCTTTTAATAATTGACAATAATAGCGCTCTGCTCTCGATCAGGTTAAATTTTTCATAGCTAAAATAGCAGTGCAGCTCGCAACGCCCTCTGCTGGTGAAGATAATCACTACACGACTGCTCCAGCCAGGCTTTCCAGGGACAGAACACTAAAAACTTGGGATGCACGATATTATCGGACTGATATCGGAATCAGCCGATAATGGCTTTAAATGTAAATATCGGCATCAGCCCGATATGAAAAATTATGCCGATATGTCTTGCCGATAATAGGAATACGTTAACTCACATGTGCTCAGGGTGTGTTAGTGATTAGATCACGTTAGATTCACTCTTTTGGATCGCTGCTTTAATCTGTGAAAGCACGTACAGAATGATGCATTCGTTGTATGATAGATTAAACAGTAATAGCACGTGCAGAGTCCTAACGCCTGTTCAGTAAGGAGTTTTAATCTGTAGGGGGCGCTGTTGGCCTACTTCTAATTAAATTAAAAGTAAAATACAAATAACATTTAGACTGTGTTTCTGATTAAATAAAGCAGTAATTGATGTCATAAAATAACGAGTATGTTTTGATTTAAAGGTCAGAAGCTATAGCTTACATGAACAACAAATCACAAACATGACACTTGTAAATTAAATAATTTTACATATACTGATTTATTCATTAATGTGTAATATGTTTTATTTTTTAAACAAATCATAAGCTCTAAAATATTTTCAGAACTTTTGCAACTCTTTTGCTTTAGACCATCTACAGATGTTACATTTTATGGGGAAAAAATGCAGCGATTGATATATAGTTTATTTATAGTTATTTTCAAAGCTTTAATGTACTGTCAAAAAACCTTCATAATTGTTTATTTAATTCTAACAAATAAGTTCTTGTTAAAAACTAACCAAAATTAAAAATATTTTGCTTATAATTTCTGCACAGGAGAGACTTGGTGTTGTTTCCAAACAAAAGGAAATATATCGGTATCGGTATCGACCAAAAATGAGGTGAAACTATCGGCAAAGATTATCGGCAAAAATCCAATATCGTGCATCCCTACTAAAAACCCTAAATTACACGGCCTCACCTTCATCCGGATCGTTCCTCGACGAGGCCTCCAGCAGAGCGATGCTCGCCGCAAACGAAACCCTTTTGCGGTTCTCCCGCAGGTTCCAGTGGCCGCGGCGTTTGTCGCCCTTTCGCTTCTTGTTCTGCATTTCTTTCTCGTAGACGGCCCATCGCTTGAGCTGCTGCATGCGACGCTTCTGCGCGGCTCTGAGCCGTTCCAGACTGGGCACCTTATCCAGCTGCTGCAGCTCCGTCAGCAGCTCCAGGTGACTGGCCATGATGATGATGATGATGAAGGCGAGGCGGGGAATCTAGCAGGGGCTGCAGCTCCCTGCCAAACCTCCACCCTTCATCCTGAACCTGGAGGAAGACGAGAACCAACACTCGGATCAATCACATGATTTAACACGAAACACAAATCCGCTCATAAAACAAGATTTAATGTGTGATAATAATCAGAAATGTTTGTTGAGCAGCAAATCTGCATATTATACTGATTTCTGAAGATCATGTGACACTGAAGACTGGAGTAATGATGCTGAAAATACAGCTGCGCATCACAGAAATACATTACAGTTTAATAGATATTCACATAGAAAACAGCTGTTTGAAATTATAATATTTCAAAATTTTTAATGCATCTTCAATAAAATAAATGCAGCTCTGGTGAGCAAAAAAAGCCTTCCTATATTTATATATATACCACCACAAACACCGTCCCACAACATCCTGTGCTCATGAACGCATGGAGCTGTTCGTAGGGTGATGTTGAAATTGTTCTATTTAAACGCACCAGCAGCACAATATAACGTGCGTCTCGCTGCTGTATGTGGGGATTTACCACAGTCATTTATCAGGCCGCAGGCAGAGACCTTCTGAGGAACGTGGGCTTCACACATTAGTGAGCAGAGGAAGACGCCACACTCATCTCTGCTGCTGTGCAATTTTCCACTGGTGAAGTGGGCAAAGCTGCAACACACACACACACACACACACATACACAAACACAGACGCACACACACCCCTGTCACCACCAGATACCATCGACCCACACACTCACACACTCACACACACTCACACACACACACTCACACACAAACACTCACACACACTCACTCACACACCTGTCACCACCAGATACCATCGACACACACACTCACTCACACACACACACTCACACACACTCACACAAACACACACTCACTCACTCACTCACTCACTCACACTCACTCACTCACTCACTCACTCACACTCTCACACTCTCTCACACACACACTCACTCACTCACTCACACACTCACTCACACTCACACTCTCACACACACACTCACTCACACACACACTCACACAACTGTCACATCCTGTCAGCACCGGACACCATCGACACACACACTCACACTCACACTCACACACACGCAAACACACAAGCCTCACCATTTCCTGTGCTTATCGCCAAGATTGATCTCAAACACGTGAATCCTCCAGAGGAGAGAGCAGGTGAATCATGCGTGTGCGATGGCCATGTTTTCCACTTCTAGCCCACGACACACACAACTTCCCCTCGCAGACGCCTGAACCTGTCACACACAGGTGACGCTCAGGACACGAGACAGACATGCGCTCATTAAACAAACAGATTCATCCAGCATCACTAACCATTAACAGGAACAGCACACGCGTTCACAGTCTCATCATAAGCTCTTCAACACACACCACTGACGTGTAAATGTATAGACCACAATAAAATCACAGGACTCGATGTGTGTGATATGAATCTTCTACGATAATACTGTAATTGTTGTTTTGAATATGTGTGAGCTGGCATCAGAGAGTATGGTAAGCAAAAGCCAAACAAAATCACACCAGAGTCTATGCACTGTAGCTACAGTCAAATAATAAAGCTTCTTTATTGGCATTGATGGTTATGTGAAGAACCTTTAACACACAGGTCCTTTATAGTGGAAAAATACTCTTTAGATCATTAACATATTATTTGTGATAAGAAAGAATGGTTCTTTTAAGAGCTGACCAAAATGCAAAGAAAACTTTTGGAACCTATTTTTAAGAGTGGAGCAGAATGCAGTTTTAAACTTAGTTAGAAACAAAGCATCTCTTTGCAGTTCAATACTGAATGAATCAGGGTTCTGAACAAATCACTTGAGTGAATGATTCAATAACCACTTGCTTTGTTTCTAAAATGAATCAGCCGTTTTGAACTAGGCGTTTAAATGAATGATTCAATGACTCTCTCAGTAAGACAAGGACTTGCTACCATCTACTAATATTTTTTATTATTTCAATATTCAAATTTGTATTTTTAAAACACTTGAATTAATTGATTAAATGTATGAAATTAACATTAGCTAAGATTAAATGCTGTAGAAGTATTGTTCATGCTTAGTTCATGTTAACCAAAGTAATGTTAACTAATGAACCTTATTGTACCAAAAAAAGAGTTTTGTTTATGTCAGATAAATAAAACAAGTTGATTTCATGCCTTGCTACCCTGCACTGATCTCCAAGGAAGTTTTAATATTTCATATGAATTTCATATATGAGAGCGATCGCACGGGTTATGTCTAATCTAATCAACAACACCCAACAGTGTATTTCATCAGATCAGCTTAGTGCAGCATCTCATTCATGAGCCCAAGCCAGATGTGTATCAGACAGTAGTGAATGTCAGCGGTGTTGGGTTAGCGCAGGTTAACTCGTGATGTGTCTACAGTGCTGATCTGTTTAGAGGGAGCGGATACTTTCAGGTTGTTTTCAGCACTTAACAACATTACAAGAGCCGCGAGCGCCTGCTGATCTAATAAGAAGAGTAGGAATTGCATTACCTGATGCACGCACACACACACACACACACACACACTGACACACGCTCGCGCTCGCACACACACACACACACACACTGACACACACTGACACACGCTCGCGCTCGCACACACACACACACACACACTGACACACACTCGCAATCGCTCACACTCGCACTCACACTCACTCACACACACACTCACACACACACTCGCACTCACACTCACTCACACACAGTCACACACACTGTCACACACACTGTCACACACACTGTCACACACACACACTGTCACACACACACACACTGTCA